AGAAAGAAAGAAAGAAAGAAAGAAAGAAAGAAAGAAAGAAAGAAAGAAAGAAAGAAAGAAAGAAAGAAAGAAAGAAAGAAAGAAAGAATATGGGCTAAAAGTGGGCTAGGTAGTTTTGTTTTTGTTTTGTTTGTTTTTATTTATGAATAGACTGCCTTTTAGGGTCCCTGTTAAAACAGGTAGGCCAAGCGGGCCTTTCTCAGAGAGCTCACAGTATGTACTACAGCCATGCAGCACAACACCAAACATTTATCATACCGATTAGAAAAAAAAAATCTGCAACAATTTTAAAACATTTTTCATTGAAATAATTAGCTTCGTGTTTAGATTTTAGTTAATAATGTTAGGTGTTACACGTGCAGCTGCAATCTGTCAAAAAAGTAGAGATTAAAGCACACTTTGCTAAAGAATAGCTGTGTTCAACATAAGACTTATTTCCCAAAATGTTTTTTTTTCCCTGATCATTTTGGTTTTGTCGTCTTTTGAAGCCACCCCAGCAAACAAAAGCTATCCCCAAGTCTGCCACCAAAGCCTCAACAACAACCACCCCATCTCATTAGTCAAAATTGAGTTACCTCTGGAGGATCCTAGGCGTGAAAGTGAAGAGCGCCTAAAAGACGGGTAACCAAAGTAGCTGATGTCCTCAGAGAACATGGCATCAGCATCTATAATAACACTGGGATGAGCGGAGTGAATGTCTGCATCCAGCAGGGACATTAGGTCTTCTGCATGGGAGGGAAAAACAATAGAAAAAAATTTATTAAACAATGAAAAGCACCTTTATTTGGTTTAATATTTGTAGTATTCTTTAGAACAATCTTTGCTAAGATGAACATTTATAATTATCTACTAAAATGCTTTCACTGGTGAAGAATGTCCAAGCATCATTTCACACACCTCCAGGGAGGTAGGATTCACTAGCTGTGTCATCCCCATCATCTCCATCTTCATCGTCCCGGCTGAGCAGGTTATTAACAGCTAGGTTAACGTCGAGGTTAGTCCTCTGGAGTTCCCTGATGATGACACTTCTTGATTTCCCCTGCAGAACTACCTGAGCCTAGGTAAATAAACAAATCACACCCTTCAGTGACATTAATTTCCCCCACAAACAAACAAAATTCAAAAAGGATCTTTAAAATTGTGTTTGTTACAAAGCTTGAAAATGCCGTACCTGCGTAATAAGTTCCTCAGGAATGACTGAAGCTGGTATGACCGGCTGAGGCTGGCTACCTAGAAGTCCCGATCCACGATCCCTTCCTGTGCGGATCACTCGGGTCTGGCGACGAGAATCTCGAGCAGCTGTGGATGACCTGCCTGATGTGCTTCCACTCCCACCTCCCCCGGCGCCACTGCCGCCGCTTCCTCCTCCTCCTCCTCCTCCTCCGCTGCTGCCACCTCCAGCTCCACCTCCTCCTGCTCCTCCGCTGCTTCCTCCCCCTCCGCTTCCTCCATTTACCCCAGAGCTCCAGCGACTCCTGTTACACACAGTGCGAGGCCACGGTCACACAGAGCAGCCAGACACTCAGAGCACACATCTGGTTACAATGACATTCAGTCTTTGTGACAGTAGAGGTAGGACATTCCAGGCTCAGATGGGTTTTACACCAGAAAGATTTACAGAAAGGAAGAATTAACTGCTAGACCTTTTCTAGGATGAAGTGTCATTAAAGACGATATCATTTAAATAAAGGGCAACATATAGACAGAGTGAAACTATTACATATTATTTTGAAAGTGCATTTCCGCATTGACTAGAAACACCAAATACAAATGCAGCAAATTTACAGTAATATTATCCACACTGTAAGCTGTGCAGAACATCAGGAGCAAAAATAATCATATTTTGAAGACTACAAGGGTTTGGTTATTAATATAAAAATAAATCAACATAATCAGTAAATCATGTTAAGCTTGCTTTGTTTTTAACCAGCCTGTCATTTAAAGGGGCATCTCTTCATTCTGTGCTCAACATAAATGCTCACTGATCAGTACAGCACTGAATCTTGTGAAAAACACTCCTCTAACCCTCTCAGCGCCGTACTCGGTGCACCAAGCTTTCACAGGATCATTCGTCTCCATCAGTCCTGCCAGAACTTACCCAAGGGTGTTGCCTGCCAGTCTGCCCAGTGTGTCAGAACCAGACAGGAACCAGGGTGGATCACTGGTCCTGCCTGGCCTGGAGCTCCTTCCTGTCCCTGAACCACTGCTCAACTTTGAACTGGAAACAAAAGATGGGAGATGAGTTACAAACCTACAAATGTCCAAAGGACTGATAAAAACGTCAGYTTTTTCCTCGACATCCTGGGCTAATTCTTAGTAAATTAAGCCCAGGTGTTTGTTTAATTGTACCCCATGGTTCAGGATTTTTTGTTTTTTCTGTCTGTAATAAAGTAGGGGTATTTTGGAGACTAGCATGGCAACACCCTTGGGAATCAGAATTGGCTGCAACTCATTCCTCTTTCAAAACTTTCCTTTTGAAAAAGTTCTTGTTTTATTAGGGCTGCGACTGCTTTCTCCCATTTCAAGAACCATTTTAACTTGTGTTCTTAAAATAATAAAAAGGTGTTTTGCTGGAGCAAAGAAAATAAATTAAGATTTGTAAAAACACAAAATGTGTTGCTAACAAGCAAATGGAAACTAAAAAACTAAATTTAACAGTGCAGTTTTTTGATCATACAAGTTGATTCAAAAACAGATTAAAATAATTCAACAAACAAACAGCACACACAGACAAAAGGCAGAGATGCTGACAATATCCTGGTACTTTACTTAGATTTCAGAATCAGAGGGGACATTGAGCTTTGTTCTGTAAACCAACCAACCTGCCACAGACTTATCTGCCTCACTTTGTTCTACTGGTGTTGATGAAAAAACTGATAATTTGGAACCATCTTATCTTGCCTGCAAATCTGTGGCAGAGAACAAAAGACATCCTCTGCTGCAAAGTTTGGAGCTTATTATCAATGGTATTTAGCTGCTACTACATAAAATCACCAACGCTTGTTCTGTTGGCAGCACATGAACAAAAATCATTGAGATAATCATCAAACTATGCAATCCCAGCCAACAAAAAACCAGTATGGAGTATTTTTCTAGATAAAAACAGCCATGAAATAAAGCATACACATGCATAATTATAAAAGCTAGTTTTCAAAAAGTATTTCGAGACTGCATTGTTGTCAGTCTCTGAGCATAAAGTTAAGAAAACCTGAATACTTAAATCAAAGAAACAAATACATTTATTTAATGCATTTAATTAAACTGAAGAAACATTAAGCAAAACACTAAGAACACCCACCAGTCCAGCAGTTGTATAACAACTGTGATATAGATACTGTATTTTTCCTGCTCGGGAATAGTTAATGTTTTTAAAAAGGTAAATGCTGAAGCATTTTCAATCACAACTAACAAGATCAACTAAACATGTTCAGTGAATCTAGAAAAGGGTTAAATCCTGGTGCTCGAGGTCCTAAATCCTGCACAGTTTCTTTTTTCCTGCTCCAACACACCTGATTCAGGGAATGAATTACCTCTTCAGGTTCTGCAGGAGCCTGTTAATCATTCAAACCAGGTGCGTTGGAGCAGAAAAAAAWATATCTTTGTTTACCCAAGTCACTGCTAAATTGGGACAAGTTTCTCCAAGACAGAAAGTGTCTCACCCATCGCTGCCATCCGGTTTGTTGAGCTCCAGGCGATCGGGTTGGACCGCAAAGCTGATTCTGCACACACGTCCATCCTTAAAGAAAGGTGTTTGTCAGTTTTATAGATACAGACTCTTGGACAAAAAATATGCAATGATAAGTTAATTATAGATAATTACAATTATTTTACTAAGGTGTTTTAACTCAAACATTTACAAACACTTCACACTTTATTCTCAAAGTCCACAGGAAGGTCTGCCTATGTCAAACTACAATAACCATAAACAGGCTGCATTTAGAGGGTTTTGATTAATTTAATGACGACTCAAAGTGCTTTTACATCACTTCTGTCTTTCTCACACATAAATACAGTCTCAACATCTGACTTCACACCCTCAGCATGCTTCTACTAACAAGCAGTAAAGGTGTGCAGTATGCAGGGGCGTGCAAAGCTCAAAACAACAAAGTTTGTTCAAACAAACCCATTTCATGCTCAGTCTAAGCTGAGCTGCTGTAAGTGGTGTGACACGCTCAAAATAAAATATTAAACTTCCACAATTTGTACAAATGAGTGAAATAAAAGTGTGTCATAAAGTTAGAGCTAATCTCATTATAGTGTTTGATTATTGCTGATGTTATTGCGTTATAGCGTTACCTCAAGGAGAAATCCAGCATGGTTTGGACCAACAACACACTGCTTTAAGGTGGCCTGCTCAAGCAGACTAAGATGTGGATGACTGCAGCAGAAAAACAGAATTCATTTCACAGGCTGATAAATATAAACATGTATAATCTTAAACAGAATGTTGATACAAACTCACCTGTTATAGCTATATTTGTTAAGCTTCTCTGAGACTTCACGGAGCCTAAAAGGAAGAAACAAACTATTTATAAATAAAGACCAAAGACTAAAGAAGACCTGAAATGTCAATGTTTTCCTTCAAGGTTTCTCTGTTGATTCAATTTTTGATCATTCACACAAACACTTTTTGAATCTCTAATGAAAATCCGAGCTGCAACTATCATAATAAAATTAATTTATTTTTATTTCCTTTCACAAAACAAATTATGTATCCGTGAATTTTCCGGGTTTTATTTTTCTAACTTATTTTTATTTGAACTATAGCATAGCACCCGCTATTTGGTAACAATTTCTATTAAATATGGGTGCAGCAGGAAAAAAAATGTCATTCTTCTGTTGATTTAACTTCATTCATTGGGTCTGCTTCTCTCAGTCAGCTAAATGTGAAACGATGTGATTTGCTCAGAGAGGATGCTGATGTTTTAACAACTCACATGGTGAGAAGTTCTTTCCCCCAGACGTGTTGATGTATTTTGTCTTCATGTGTAGAATTAAAATCTGCAGCTTTCTGTCAATGTTTTCTATATTCATTTTGATGTTGTGCACTTTAAAAAGTGAATACAAATGGAAACAAAGAGCTTCAGGTAAGAAAAAGAACAAATTTTTAAGCTTGCTCTGAGGTTGTTTTGCCAGTTTTGACATGGGATGGTTGCGTGCCAAGCCAGGTGGAACAGCCAAATGCAACACAGTTCTGGCGACTGACTTTGTAGTTCCCTCCAGTTTTATGTTAGTGGCTACTAATGTTTGTTGCAGGAAAGCAGGGCACCACCACATACTCAACAGTTTATTCACTTTCAAACAAGTGAACCGAAACGAGTCTAATGCACATTTGCTATGCAGCGTTTCCCCTACCATTATCCGCGGGGGGGGCATAAAGGTCATGGAATATAATAAGTTAATAATTTGTACATTTGGGGGCGGCTGTGGCAGAGTGGTTAGGTGGGAGTCGTCCTGGAACCATTCGATCCCCAATTCCAGCTGTCTCCTTGGGCAAGACACTTCACCCACAATGCCTGTGACGTGTCCCATCAGTGTGAGAATGTGATTTAAAGCACTGATTAGTCCCCATAGGATGATTCATTCACACTGCACTGTGTCAAATGAACTAAACCCTGTGAACAACCTGTTCTCTCCCTCACCTGTGGTGGCGCTGCACCAATAACCACTGAAGGAATCGACACAAAAACCTCTGAAGAAGACACTGAGTGCAACTTCCTTCTTCACAAAATGTAAACCAGGGGTGTCAAACTCCTGTCCTCGAGGGCCGCTATCCTGCATGTTTTAGAGGTTTTCTTGCTCCAACACACCTGATTTTGATCGCTGGGTAATTAACAGGCTTCTGCCCAATTTGAAGAGTTAATTCAATCACTGAATCAGGTGTGTTGGAGCTGGAAAACCTCTAAAACATGCAGGATAGCGGCCCTCGAGGACTGGAGTTTGACACCCCTGATGTAAACAGACATGAAGTGATGTCAGATTTTAGTGGTTGCAGGATTTCCCTTTTGGTTTTTGCACATGTGTCAAACAATCTTCAACAATGAGCTCAGCATGAGAGAAAGACGAGGCAGAACCTTGGAGAATCTTGCTTTTCCACACAAGGTGGCTGAGACAGCTCTGTCTGAGGCGGCATTCACAGAGTTGCAGCACGTCCAACTTCACAGCAGTGATGTCCACCTTATACAGACATCGAGCAAGAGATATTTACAAAATATGAGTAACTTTATTTCTCTGAATGTCTTGCAATATAGTCCACTTCCTGCTTTTGGAGCTGTCTCCGGTCTGCTTAGGGTTCACACATGAAATCGAACCGCACCAGAGTGTTCATTGAACTGAGACCTAGGTTTTTAGGCAGACCAGAGTTTTCTTTTGTGGTCCACATCAGAATTTGATTACATGTTCACACCTCCCCAAACAAACCGGACTTTCCATGCTTGAAAAAAAAAAACAACTGCAGTGAGTAAAGCTTCACACTTTGTAAATAAATTATCTAAGTTACTACTTGTTTTTTATGTCTTTAAATGTATTATTGTACTAATCCATCAAATGTTAAATTTACTGCTGTTATCAAAAGCAAAACATGAACTTGAGTTCTTTGTTTGTTGAACCCGTCAAGGCCAGAAACTTAAGGGAAAAGCTGCTCTGAAGCTCTAACTCAAAAGATGGCCTCAGTGCAGTGCTAATACAATACAGAGTAAATATGAAACTGAATGGTAAAATGGTGTATTTTTTTCTTTTAAAGGAGCAGTCATGTGAAGTTTGTATAAAGTGATGTCTTACAAACAGGACAGTGTGCTGACAGTACATACACACACAGGTCAGTGACTGTACAGCAGCAGAACATTACCCTCACAGTGAAAAATGCAGATGATCCTTTATTATTTATAAATTGTAGGACCAAAGTAAACAAAGTGAAGCACTGTCAGAAACACTAATGTATTCCACTCTGATTCTTGTAAAATTACGTTTTTAAAAGATGCTTTAATATAGTAAACACGGTGACAATTTTTTAATCTTTGTTTTGGCTAATGGCTAACTGTTAGCACAATGAGCCCACCAGTTCTGCAGGCTGCTTTTCCTAAACGAGAGCATGCTGACAGCTGTAAGATGCAGACTGCTTGAAGAGTTTCCAGTTGAAGCCATGTTATGGTACAGCTGAAAGGACACTTGGGGTCGAGATGTACTTCATGAGAGTCTGAAACAACTCAAATATGAATACCGATTAGGGTTGGGCATAATCGTATCGTGTGCGATTAATCGTCAGAAAAACATTAATCGATTATTTTTTGGCACTTGACGATTAATACGATTAATGCAACCAGGCAGAGTCCACTCKGTGCTCCTCTCAGCTTCAAATATGACAAACATAAAAAAGGTTCTGTAATTTATTTATTTATCAACACAATTTAAAAATTGATGTATAGCCTGAAGTCTGTGATTTTGACACAATTTGGAACAGATTTTATGAAAAGAAAATCTTTCCCACTAAATTGGTCATGTGACTAGGACATAAAGGTGTGCAGGGACTCCAGGGGATTAATCGTCAAATTAATCGTTATTAGCTAAATACCACAATTAATCGTGATTAATTTTTTTGCCAATATTGCCCAACCCTAATACCGATCACTTAGGGCTGCGCAGTATATGCGGAAGACGGTAGAATCGGTATGAAGTTGGCCTACGGTAGAAATTTATACACTATCGTCCTGTCGTCATTACGTCATCACAGCTGTGTCAACAGGGCTGCGAGTGCAGAGACAACTGAGCAGGAGTTTCAAATATAATGAAGAAATTCTAGTGTTTTAAAACACGTATAGAAAGAATAAATCCTCAAAATTTCCTCCTCCCACTGTAGAAAAGTTACGTCGCGTCGCGGGATCATTTCCTCCCTCCCTTTCGCTGCACGTCGCGCAGAGCAAAGCTTTAACAACTGTAGTTTTTCACACACAATTGTYGGAGGAAAAAAATGTTTTTATGTACTGTTACCCACAGAGATTATTTTTAAAAAAATACRTGGACATTCGTTCAGTCGTAAATCCATCTTGCTAATGTGAAGTCGGCTTCTGCTCTGATGATGAAGATGAGAGCGCAGCAGAACAGCAGCTGATAAGTTCAGCAGGCAGAAGCTCGTTGTTTGGCAGGCAGATATTAAAGAAAAACTATTGGGTTTGATTAAGATTACAGTTTTCTGCAAAACAATGCTCTTAAAATTACATTCTTAACTTTTTATGATGATTTTCTACCGCGATATATACCGTTACCGTGAAGGGGTTCAATTTATACTGTGATGTGAATTCGAGGTCATACCGCCCAGCCCTATGATCACCATTTATGCTTTCCACAAATACATTTTAAAAAATGCATGATCCACCAATAAAGTGAAAATCTAAACCAAAAAAAGGCATTTTCTAACTGATCCAGAGGATGCTCCTGTCAGTAGACTAGCACGGTGGTTTATATGTGTTCTGAAAGCTGAACCACCACTTTTCTACCATGCCAGAGTGAAACCACCAGTGCCACTTCAGCATTCCCTACTCTTTCCTGAGCCTGCAAGCACCCATTTTACAGGGAAGAAATCCCACAGCACCCACTTCCTCCACACACCAAGAGTGATTCAATAACCGTTCCTAGTCCCTTAGGCCTGAGAGACCCTCCACAGAACTGTGAGCACCAAGGTAGCAGGGTGCACTGAGTAATGTGGTGAGGTCAGCAATGATATCCACGTTTTTAATGTAAACTTGGCCCAAATGGAACAGGAGATCGGCTGGCACAGTACATCAGTTTTTCCCAAACCTGGTCCGCAGGAAATGTAATCCTGTGTGTTTTGATGTGTCTCTACTCAGCACCTAATTCAAAGGAGCAAATTAGCTTTAGAGCTTATTATGTTTTGTCAATGATTCATCCATTTAAACCAGGTGTGACTAAGCAGGAAAACGTATAGGACATGAGAACAATGTGTCCCAATGTCCAGGATTGAGAAAAGCTTGTGGTTATCAGTGTTAAACAGTGTTGTGATGCATACTAAAAGGTGATTACAAGCTACAGTAGAAGGTTAAAAGCAGTGTCACATTGGATTGGTAAAACCATTAAGACAAACATGTCCAACTCTGGTCTTCAAGGGCCGGTCTCCTGCAATTTTTGATTTGCCCATGCTTCAACACAGCTGATTCAAACAGATGATTTATCTTCTCAGTTTGCCATCAATGTCTGCAAAGGCCCACTAATTAAGCATTCCTTAGGTTCAGTTGTGTTGACCCAGGGCAGCACCTAATACATGCAGGACACCGACCCTTGAGGACAGACTTTGGACACCACTGCATTAAGATTTACTCTTCCATTAATCTTTAACAGAAAAAACTTGCTACAAAGAAAAACTGTATCCATGTTATTTTCTGCAGGTGAATCCACAGTTTGAGGGGTAGGGTCAGTTAACCCTAACCTTCAGCACGTTTTGTATCTTTATTTGCCACTTAAATTCTAACCATCTGCTTGTCATAAACACAATATTAATGTGTTTCTAGCAACCATTCAGGTGAGAATGGTAAATATGATGCTGTTATCACTGGACCTGAGCAGGGCACTGGTTAAAGTTTTTTTCCTATTTTCCAGTCTCACTTCAACTCTACTCAGGTCTGCACGACTGACGCTGCTCTGACCAATCAACGGCCTGCAGTCTACTGATGYCAGATCTTTAGCTCCATTCAGTTCACTTGGACAACGGCTGAGTAGGTCCTAGAACCAGGCTGTGACCCACAGCTTCCAGCCCACTAAGTGGGATCACCCAAGGCACCGAAAGTCTGAAGCACAGTCAATTCAAGAAGTCCATAGAAAAAAAAAGCTGTAAAGGGCTTGAATGAAAAGCCAACCATGTTCTCTCCTCATCCAAGTCACAGGTGAACATGTGCTCTGTGAGACTAGCTACAATGATGTTTAAAATTTATGCGTACAGGGAAAGTTTCACCTCTTCCAACACCTAAACAAAACCTAACTGTCTACTGGTGATCTCTTGTGGTGGTAATATGATAGAAAGTAGCATTTTCATACCAAAGACTAAAACAGAAATAATCCATAAGCAAGAAATAAAGGAGAAAGCAGAAAGACCATGAATCCTTAAAAGAAATTCTCTCACACAAGTCAATTATTCTACTGTAAATAAACAATTTTTATCTTAAAGTAGATATTTTTTCTGTAAACATTTAAATTCAAAAGCCCTAAAAAGTGGCTATTGGTGTTTATGGACCTGCAGAGTAAACAATGAGACGACTATATTTTTAAGCCTGTAGACTAACCATCTCCACACTTGCATTAATGCTTTCTGATAGTCAATTTTATCAAAAGCTACTGATCCTGTGTCATAGTGCTGCTTTACGCCTCACACGAAAGATTGGTAAATTCATGACCACTCAAGGTTTGAGATGCATCTCATCAAACACACTAATCAAGAGATCCTTGTCAAAAACAGACAGCATTTCTCACAACCTTCAAGGAAAAAAATTATTCAATGAAATCAACAAAATTAAGCTAAATAAAATGTTATTTTATCCGTGGTTGAAACAYCAGAAGACATGCCAAATTTTACACTGAGAGGGTTTGTAAATATGGGCAGCTTTAGGCTTTCAATTTATCACAGAAGAGCAAGAGACAATATTTAAATTAAATGTGCTTCACATGGAAACATGTTTAAATTAAATGTGTTTCATATGGAAACACTACTCGACAGAGCATCATTCAGTATAACATAATTTAGTATTTATCACTCAACTTCTAGATGAAAAATCACAGAGGTGAACAACTGAGTACCCTAATTCTCCCACCTGCATGCAACTACGTGGAATTTATAAAATTTTAAATCACAAGCTGTATATTTGTCATTTCTCTCCCAAACCCCAAGAGAAATTATAAAAGGTGTGATTTTACACACAGTAGAAATCACATTTAAAAAAGTCACCGCAGCAAAGAAAGACTAAATGACTCCTGAAGCATTTGGGTCCGTCATTCACTAAATGCTCATTTTTTATATTGCACTGCTACTTCTAACAGTTTCACAAGAACACAGCAGAATAGGGCTGCTACAAAGGATTATTTTTATAATCGATTAATCACCGATTATTTTTTCGATTAGTCGACTTATCGGATCATACGTTAATTGAATATAAAACATACAGCTTATCACGCCAGAATGCAGCTGCTATTATATAACCATGGTTAGATTTTAGCTATATGCTAACTAAAAATAAATGCTGTGGAAGGTAAGTTCTGCCTTACAGATATTTCACAGGTTTCTCTTTCATTTTCTTAAAATGATCCCACACTTTTGAGCTCCGTTGCTGGGTAGCCATGATACCAGAGCCTGTCTGTATAATGTCTTGTGACGTCCACGGCCTACCCCAGTTACCACTACTGTGCATGTGTGTCAAGGACAGAAAGGCAGATGTGGCAGTGGAAGGTGTCAAAGCAGTTTGGAGAGAAAAACAAAGAACAAAAAAAGGGAAATGATTAATCGATTATTTTAATAATCGATTAGTCGTCGATTAATTGTGGCAGCCCTACAGCAGAAGCATGTGAAACATCCACCTCACATCAGGAGAATGTGCTAAACTAGTGTGTCAAAAAAGACCTTGGCCAAGTCAAACAAACCACTGGCATTTAGCTGACAAAGTCTGACAGGATGTTCATGACAAGCAAGTTCTTTTAATGAACCAAGCCTTTCTTTTTTTCAGACACAAATACTTACAGTCTTGGACAACTGCAAGTTACATGATATGTAGGGGGAAAGTAGGGGGCCTCCAAGCAGCATATGGTGACTGCAGGATAGATATACAGGCATACAAGCCTGGGCATGGAAGAGGCATGACCTCTTTAAGTAACCAATGGTCCAAGATGCCTGTGTGGTGCCTTTAGTGAGATTAACCACAAAACAACAGAGCAAACTGGAGTCACAATCAAAAGTTGGTCCTCCCCAGAGCTAAACCATCAATCAGCAAAAAATGATCAAGTGCTTAGCTTTTATTCTCTTCTAAATCCCAAGGTCATTCTTTAAAACACTGACTTCTCACCCCTTTGTCTTAAAGTGGACCAGCTCATTAATCAGTTCAATCTCAAAGGACGGTGTAAATGGATTAATCATAGCTCACATGTTGAACGAACACACAGGGTCTTTATCCCCAAACCCTACTGACAAATGATGTGTTCCCTGTTTCAAAATAAAACCAATCCGTGTGAATTTAACGGGACCAAGTGCCCAATAACAAATATAATGTGTGTGTATGTTCCGGTCGCCACAATGAGTGAAATTATTTCACATAGTTTTGTGCTTACTAGAATATAAAGTGTAGATCATGCAGTTTTGCACGCCTTGGCTTGGTTTCTCAACCTCATTAAAGTAGATAACAAGATTAATGTGAACGGAGCGTTCGTTGCTAACTCTGCTTCGCCGCATAATTTTAGCTAACGCATCTCAGTGCGTAGCCTTAACAGTGACACAATAAGACCGTTTTACAACAGTGTTGGCTAATAAATGTGTCTGTAATGTTTAAAGTGAGAAAGCCCTGACAAAAAAAAGGCCGTGGAAAGTGAATATTTGTCTTTGTCAAGCGCGTGGTGGCGAATAACCTAGCCACTTGGCATTAGCTGACAGCTAGCTGACGTTAGCTCGTTCATTGATCATAATAACCAACGAAACGTGTGCTAAACAAACCAAGCTGTGCGGCAAAATGGTATGTGTGTAAATTATACCAGATTTCACGATCGTTTAAAATATGCTTGTGTTAAAAGTCCCTTATTACCCCCCTCTTAGCCCCATCCCCCAACCCGCATTGTCTATTTCAACTTTGACTGTGAGCCAATCCGTCCACAGCACCAACACGTCTTGCTAACGCTCCATAGACATTGAACTGGTTAGCACTTAGCGAGCCGCTAGCGGCAGCCCAGATAGCAAAGAGCTAACAAGGACTGCTCAAAATGCCGGGCCTTGTTTCACCCCCCTACAAGTCTCATTTTTGACCATTAAAACCCAAAAGAAAACCCATGACAGCGTCGACAAACAACTTACATTTCATTTACCCAAAACTACAGCATAAATAACGCTTTTACGTTTTCTTTTCAACGAAATACCTGTCATTGAGCTGATCCTCGGTCCCGGGCAACGGGTGAACAACGAAGTGAATAGATGTCATGGAGTCGATCCAAAATCACACAGAGACTCGTGAAAGATGTGCGAATTGTTGTTCCTTCGACTGCTGTACGTGTTTGGTTTCATAGGAGTCAATTAAATGCAAAAAAACTTAAGAGTTTGAGTCCCAGGCTCCTCACCCACATGCCGCCATCTTAACTCTACCGAGCCTCTCTCTGTGTGAGTGTTGTGATGAGGAGTGTTGATAAGTGCACGTTCACCCCGACACAAACAGGAAATGWCTGAAATTGGCTTAAAACTTCTGCCTGCACGAAGAGATGCACAACTAATGTCACACAAAAACAAAACCGACACTGTCCGAAATCGTTTCTATCCCACTTTGTCTTCGTTCGGATTGAAAAATGTCCCATTTGATACGTTTTCTTGAAATGTAAAACCAAACGCAGAACACAAAAGAAAAAACTAGTTCCTTAAAATAATAATATTGCAGATTTTATTTGACATCTCACTGTAGTTACATCAATGCTCTGCTTTGCAAACTAATCGTGGTACATTTCCGGTCGTTTTTTTTTTTTTTTTTTTACTTTGAGTTCAATGTCCTTCATTCTCTGCAGCCATAAAAGGCTCGTTTTGAAGTAAATTACATTGTTTTAATGCCTTCAAAACTTTGTCAGCAACAATATACAATCTACTTTATTATAGAGAAAAGGAAAAAAA